GTCGTTGATCTCAAACTTGATTGTGATGGAACTTTGATGATTGTTCAAGTGTGTTGTGAATCTTTGAAATTCCTCTCGGCCGTATGTCCATACTCCCCAAATATCGTCTAGGAATCTGTAATATGCGAATGGTTTTAAGGGAAAATTAGTTAGTGCGGAGTGCTCCCAAGCTGCCATGAATATGTTTGCGTAAGAGGGTGCGAATTTTTTGCCCATGGCGGTGCCCTTTGTTTGCAGATAGAATTTCGAGTTAAATTCAAAGTCGTTTTTGGTGAGATTGATTTCTAATAGTTTGATTATATACTCATCGGGTCTTTTGGGGTCCGGAAAACGCTTGAAGCAATCTTGCACAGCCGATATTCCGGCCTGTGTTTCGATGTTTGTGTAGAGACTGTCTATGTCGATAGTAAAAAGGAGGGCGTCCGTGGGGATTGTTAGATTTTTGGTCTTTTGTATGAAATCGTATGTGTCTCGTAAATAACTGGCGTGTCGCTGTGAGATGGGGTTTAAAAAATATTCTATATATTCGGCTGTATAGTATGATTCGCTATCACAGTCCGATACTATTGGACGGCCTGGTGGTATCTTATGTGGCCTACTCCAGTCTTTCGGGTCTTTGTGAATTTTGGGCAGTAGATAAAATCTCCTTGGCCTGGGAGTGCCCGATCCCATTAAATAAGTTTTTTGGTCCCCGCTGATAATCTTTTTTTCGCACATTTCTTCAAGTATTTCTTTGATTTCTAGTCTCGTTTGGGGGTATATGGGTTCGTTCAAGGGGCTATAGTGTTCTTGTTTGTTAAGTTGTCGATGCCCCTCCCATAAATAGTCCGTTTTGTCCATGAGTACGACCGCGTTTCCTTTGTCCGCAGGTTTGATTACCAACTGGTGATTGCCGTGTAGGTTTTTAATAGCTATTCTTTCATTCTTTGTGAGATTTTCTTCTTCTGACCGGCCCCAATCGAGATGTTTGTACGCGTAATAGTCTGCTTTGATCAATGAGTTGATTTGCGGGGGTAAACTGGATAGTGCTGGAGTCCAATCGGAGTTGTGCGTGAATGGTAGTTTCTGTTTTTGTCTTTTTTTGCCCTCAAAGTATACTTCTAATTTTATTCGTCTGTGATAAGTCTGTAAGCTATGTAATAATTCGATCTTTTGTGTGGTTCTTTTAGTTGAGGGAATGAACGAAAGGCCTTTCCGTAATGTTTCCGTTTGATCTTGGGTTAGTATTACCGTCGATAAATTGACTATGCGTTTGTCTGAGTCCCCTGTTGGGATATTTGGCCTTCCAAGTCTAAAAAATACATCCAGTGTTCTAAAAGTGCTCGGGCCGTACCGGCGGTCCAGTGGATCATGTCGTTCTCTACCCTGAAATCCCTGGATGGTAATGCTGATACATGATGAAGATTGTCCCTGATGTATTTGTTCATGGCCGTGAGATGTGCTTTTTCTTCTTCTGGTAGTGTTTGGCTAAAGTTAATGAGTGGTACGATGATCTCCGTGTGTGGTAAGCGAGCGCGTGCTGTTTTGTATGTTCTGAGTATTTCCTTTTCT